CTTTCCACAGTTCGTCACTTGCTCTTGGCGTTTTGATATTGTTATTGATGCGTTCCAAGTTAACAGCCTATTTGTATTTTTATGGTCTAAATGTGCTGCACGTATAAAATTAGCTAATCTAATGTTAACACTATCTATTTCTTCATGAATTAATTCTCAATCATTATCATCGCTAATTTAAAGAAAGTATATGTATTAAAACAAATCTTCGAACACATTCTGATATATATTAGTCGTAAGCATTTATAAAGTTATTGTGATAATTGCTAATTTCATTCATATTTTGCCTTAAAAAAACCGAATGTGGTATATGTAGAGAAAGGTTAAAAGTTCTGAGTGAATGACTGATATTGTCGTGATCTTTAGAATTATCATTATTGTTCCAATTATTATACAGAGTTTATACTTCATTTGTAGCCTACAAATAAGGAACTGAAAGCTATATGATAAAATTTATATTCTAGTTTTAACTCCTTTTGCTTACACTCTTACAAAAAAGGTGTTTTCAGACACCTTAATGCTTCATGAACCCTTATAATAAACCCATAAAAGTTCATTAGCCGTTTTCCGAAGCCCAACAAGGTTTAAGAATTATTAAATCATACGATATTTTAAAATAAAAAGGGTATTTTAAAAACAGAAGGAATTTATTACAACGTTCGCTAAACCTCGAAAGGTTATGATTCTGCTCATGTAATCCATCGGATTGATTGCTAAACTCTAGGATATTTGAATAAACCAATATGTCTGGAAGTATTTTAAAAAAAGATTTTTCAACAAAATTGAATAACTCTTTTGGATTTAATAAAAAATTGTGGCGTATTTTCATTTATGCTCATGAGTACGAAGGGTTTAGTGTCAAATGAAAAAGCGTAAGGGATTTTTAAATTTGGTTTTGTAAAATAACCCATTGAGTTTTTCAGATAGTTTAAAAAAGAGTAACTATAGTACAAAACCTTTCCAGTCCTTCCGAATAATTAATTTCTGTTTTGCTATCGAAAGATAAATGAATTTGGAATATTTTAACTGCGAAACCAACCCCATCTGCGGACTACGATGTTTTAAACAAGTAAATTATTTTTAACAATTACTTTGATTTGTGTTTGAGGAATAAAATTCAGTATGTCTCGCATGAAAAACTGTTTTGTACATTTCTATCATAAATTCTTATTTCTGAAACTACTACAGTCAAATGCCGATTATTACGAATGATAGGAGTAGCGTACACTTCTAAACAACGGAAACGTGAAAACTAGATCCAATAAACGTTTACAGAGTTTAGGAAAGTGTCACTATGCGGAGCCTGTTTTTGAGTTTATTCATTTAGCGCTTTTCGTGTAAATTCTATAACTTTGCAAAGAAAGGTCATGTAGAGCTGGGGATGTCTCATTTTAAACAGAATTTCGCGGGCTACAATCACGACCTATTAAGAGACAGTTTCAAAGATTATTTAGGGTTTCTGAAAAACCACTCTATGAAGACATAGCGGCCCATCTCATATGGATATTTGGAATCAGGAGGATCGATTACCTATAGTACACTGGGTCTCCTTAAAAAAACGGTTGAACAGTTGGATATGTTTCCTCGTTAGAAGCAAGGTAAGGTTTCACAATCAATTTTAATTTTTGACTATTGATTGTAACGATATGCTCCTAGCTTTTGCTTCTGATATAACTGAGCTTGTTTTGTTTATTTACTTATTATCAAATCATTATTCTGAAAACTTTAATTTTTTTTTTTGCTTAATTGTTCTTCTTACCTAAGCTACATAAGCACTATATAAAAAGATGATGGCTTCGCTGATCTTTTTTGTATTCTATCTTTAGGTTTGTAGCACAGGGACTTATTTTCTACAGACTTCTAATTATAAAAAGATCGGTTGCTTCGTTGACTCTTTTGTATTCTATCTTTAGTCTTGTAGCAAAGGGACTAATTCTTTACAGAGTTTTAATAACGACTTCCTTGCAGAGTGCTAACTACTGTTTGCTTTCATATTATAAAAACGATTCATTTGTCCACATCGAAAAACATAAAAATGCTCGCATAGGATAGAGATATAACTTTGCAAAGAAAGGGCATGTAGAGCTGGGGGATGTCTCGTTTTAAACAGAATTTTGTGAGCTACAATCACGACTTATTAAGAAACAGTTTCAAAGATTATTTAGGGTTTCTGGAAAACCAGTTTTCTAGAAAACCACTCTATGAAGACATAGCGGCTCGTCCCATATGGATATTCGGAATCGGGAAGGTCGATTACGTATAGTCCACTAGGTTTTCTTAAGAAAACAGTTGAACAGTTGGATATGTTTCCTCGTAATTTTTGTTCCTGCAGTGAGTGTATCATCCCAACAACTGTTCCAAATGATAAGTGTAAGCAAGAAAACCAGTGCGAAATTATATTTTTTGTTCAACACAGGTGCGCATGAGTGACTTAAGTGTTGAATATTGCTGGACAAAAAGAGCGAATCTTTCTACTTCGTTTATTTCGGTCCTGAATGCTTTGAATTGTTAGTTCTGCATGAACCAGAATCTCATTTGCATGATTGAAAAAATGAATAAAAGTTCTCTATATTTGTCTTTTTAAAAGAACACTTCAGATGTGACAAAGCAAAAACACATTTTGACGACGATCAGTTTATGAACATCTTTATATTTACATAACAAAAAAACAAAAAAAATGTGACATCATAACCAATTGAATCGAAAATACAATAGAATGGACGTTCGAACCGACAACGAAAAGAAAAAAGAAGAACTGACGACAACACCACTATAAAAACTGTTTTGTTTGTGTTGAGTTACTGAGCACTATTCTCACCGGTTAGCTTTCGACTCACTGTTTTCAACTATAATGAAAATTTCAACTATGGTATAAAATAACAACCATGTGGAGGAAATGGAATGGAAGAAGCATGCTTTGTCATATTCATCTCGTACGACCTTGTTCACTTGACGTCACTCTATAATCATTTAGTTCGCGTGACGTTAATATTGACTGACTCATTTTTCATTATTCGATATGGAAAATCGATGGTATACAAAATAACTTGTGTTAAATTATCTACTAGCGCTGTATTCATTCTCATACCCATATACACTTTTGCAGAAGTGGGCACGTCCAAGTCCGGACTTGAAGCTTTTTTTGACAAACTCGCACTTGACTTGGACTTGAAGATTGAAGTCCGTTTAAAGTCCAAGCAGTTAAAATCTATCACATTCAACAACGGGATGAATAGACTTTAACTGCTTGGACTTCAAACGGACTTAATAAAAAAATCTTCAAGTCCAAGTCAAGTGCGAGTTCGTCAAAAAAAGCTTCAAGTCCGGACCTGAGACCAAGTCTGAACTTGGACTTGCCCATGTGTGTTTGTATCGTTTTTTTGTTGGCGTGTCACATGACCGTTGTAATTCTGCTGTAATTCATGACCATTGTACGTTACACACAAATATTGTTTAATTTCAATTCTAAGCGTTGGACTTAAAATAACATATAGTGTCGGACTAAATGCTAGATAAATTAATAGATTATATCGTATTAATAATACTGGTAATGAATTATCTTCTGCGTAATCAATTAAATTGAATGATACAAGTAAATAATACAAACGCAATGGAAAATATGTTAATAATAGCCAAAATGATAAACATAACAATGTTAATGTAATCTCATGTGCCAATGATCTCTTTGTTTTCTTTCCAAATTTAAAACAATTTAGTTTAGCACGTGCCAGATTTTTTCGTCTCAAATATATTTGTCGACAGATGTAAATATCAAATATTGAGTTTAATAAAAATGGTAGTATAAACGATATGGAATATAATAATATTTTTATTTTTGTATCAAAATAATACTTTTCACGTTTTAATGAACATATACCATAGGAAAAACTGATCTCACGAAAACTTATACTTTCAATACTTTTAGCGAACAGTTCATCCATATGAACTAATACCGAAAGAAGAAGAATTAGAGTCAAAAGTATACACGTTGTTCTAGATGTAAATATTTTTTTTACTTTATACGGATGCATGAATGTAAATGCACGTTCAGATGATAATAGCACCATAATCCATAAAGAACATGTGGACGATGATTGTTGTAAAAATGCATTTGCTATACATAAAATATTCTTGTTAATGACGTGAAATAAAAGATATGACCATGTATGACTAAATATACAAATACAATGAACAATAATAAATGAATAAATATAACATCGAAATGTATTATTACGAAATGTATTTGAAAATGAAAATATTAAAATGGCTATTAAATTAAATATAAATCCAATGGTGCCAAAGCCAATAGAAACTAACCAATGATCTAAAATCATTCTATTTGTATCGCTATCACCTGATAGAATAGCGTCCAAGAATTTCATATCTCCGTAGAAATTTAGGTCTTCGTGCACCGTCTCATTAATTGTCATCATCTTCCGATCTAAAACATATAGGAAAATAAAAAGTATTCAGGTTCTACACTCAATTCTAATCTAGCATTGTATTCCTTCTGCCTTTTATCCTCTAAAGATTTTATTTTTATATGAATGATATAGCTAGAGGAGTATCATATTTATTGAATGAGTTAATAGTTTACTAAGTACATCTTTGTATCTACATCTACAGTCAAAATCAAAAAGTAAACTTTTAATATGGAATAGGAGTTTTATGTTTTTTAATAGGTTATGTATAACTAAGACTGTAGTACTTGTAATGAGTTTTTGCTAGAAAAAAGCTTTATGAGCACAGTGATAGTAAATATCTTTTTCTACGCTATCTAATGATGATAAGAAATTAATAATGTTTGACTTTTTTAATGTGGTGCGAAGCGTACCGTATTCTAGGGCTCAACGGTGTTTTTATTTTACTTTCTAAACAACAAAACTGTCACCTTCTGTAACGATTTTCTCGTGAACTAGAATGGCTACTATAAAACTTTAAACAGGAGCAGCGAGCTGTGAGGCCGAATTAGTAAATGTCCCCTTTTGAGACTTTGTGGCTAATCCAGTCACTAACTAGAAGGTTCGAAAGAAGGTGTTTTGTATGTTTGAAACTTGTAGCTTTTAAAAAAAAACGGATAATTAATCTGAGTCATACTGACATTTTTAAAGCAGAGTATTCGCATATTGTGTGAATCACTTAATGACCATGCTCTATATGTATTCAACGAATAGCTAACGCAGTGACGCCTTACTGTATTATAGATAATTAACGCAATGTGTATGATAAAATCTCTAGATTATGATAAAGTTTATAGCATAAATACTTGAGTGTCTGAACAAACATCTTGAGACTTAATGAATCAGTAGCAAAAAAATTTCGACAGTATCCTATTTTTGTCAAAACTAAGACAATTACTCTTTTACGTGACTGATCTACACTTTATCCAGCAACAATACTATACATTGTTGTTGTCTATAATTTAACAAAAAAAACTGAGTTCTCGGTTGCTGTATCCTTCATTTTCTTCATCCTGCTTCGCACCGCATTCGCAACTCTCGCTAGCGTGATTGCTGTCTAATTCTTGATATGTAAAATGATTTATTCAGCGTGGGAACACAAATATCCTTAATTGTCAATAGTTTTATTCTAATCATATATACTTAAATCGTCTCTGAATATGTTGTTATACAAGTAGGTAAAGAGAGTTTATTTTGTCATATATTAATCTCTTGTTTTTCATAATTTCAACCAATGCTTATAGGATATTTTTCTTTTTTAACTATATTTATCAGGCATGCTATTTTCAAAAAGTAGAACACTTACGTTTCAAGAAGTAAAATATAATGAATTTACGCACTAATGTTATATGACGCAATAGAAAAAGCAGACTTTTATATGATATAGTTCAAAAGTTGTTTTAGTATAGTTTATTACACATTTTAGAGACATTTAGCAAGCAAAAAAAAAGTGATAGATAATGTCGAATGAAAAAGCTATTATTAAACATCTCGTCTATCCATTGATATAATACTTTCAGAGAGAAAAAAAGAGCTCTCATCATGCACTGTAAAAAGAAACATATTCATTCATCAAGATTTCAAAGAAGGCCAAAAACAATGGAAAATAGATCTTTTATTTATCCCAAATAGAGAACTTGAATGAATTAGTTCATCCGGTTTTGAAAAACTCATTTAAGTTCTGAATTTAGTTTAAAATAAAATAAAAATAAGTGTTATATAAAGATTTGAGATTCCAATTCGTGATGAAGAATCCTTTATTTGAGATAAATGTAAAACTCTTCTTTTTTTGTTTTTTCGAAACTTTGACGAATATATATTTTTTCCTGTATAGTATTTTGAACAACACAACACAGATCAAGTTTCCTACCTATGTACTAAAATCTTTTTTTTAACTTACAGCAAGAAACATCACTGAAATAAAGAAAAAACCAAAGAGAATTTCAGTTTTATTTTATGTTTTTATTACATTTCAATTCTCCCTTACGAATATATATTAATTTTATTATTAGACTATCGTCTTGCAGACAAATAGAGCAAAAGAGAAAAAAATAGAATAAAATATGTAAGAAAAGAGATATAGATTGACTTCGTGTTGAAATAAAAAAAAAAATTAATACCAAAATATCCTTTTCCTTTTTGTTTCCTTCTTTCTTTATTTTCTATTATTTTGGTGAATGTCATCAATAAAAATGGAAAAAAAGATGATTGGTAATTATGCGTTTTACATAATTGAACTTAAACTGTACTAATGACAATTTAATGATGAGAAGACAACGGAGCATCATTATCAATTCTACATCATTAAAACATAGAAAATTTTTTAATACTTATATACATTATTTTATTTGTCACATAGTAAAATAATGACGTTGGAGTTGACAGCAATACGTATATTAACAATGTTAACCGTTCAAGTTCATCATTCTCTGTTAAACGCTTTTCTAAAATAATAGATTTCTTGCGTCATAACGACAGATAGTGATCTGAGAAGAGAACAAAATGTGTTCATCACTTCACTTCACTTCCATCACCTACATTTTACTTTAATTAATAATTATTAAAAATTTTTTTTACTATGTTTAGAATTTATTTTAGAATAAATAAAAATATGATTAATGATGAATGTTAATATTTCTATATAGTAGTAATGTAGAATTATGAATAGTACACGAATAGGCTAGAATACAGTTATCTATCTATAAATCAATTATTTGTCAATAATGATTAAAAATTTTATTCAATAATAATCGACAGTAACAGTCTAACCAGTGAATGTATGTCTATGAACGACATATGTTCATTTGCACTTCTGTGTCTATCTCTTGTGAAAGAAGTTAACTTTGAGCATCGTATGTTCTAAAAAATGTTGGCATAAAGATGGCAGCCTACTCAAACATCGGTGGTAGCGACGCGAATTAAAAAAAAATAATTTCCGCATTCACCGGTGGCGGTGTTATCTTTTTTTAGCTTTTTATTAGTAGCAGCTCGACTGGCATCGTTATGTTGACAGAAAATGAAAAAAAGAGGATAAAAAATCGTTATCAATTTTCAGAGAACAATAAAATAATACGCAGGACTAAGGTATAGACTGAGAAAAACTCAGTGTGTTTGGGAAAAATTCTTTTTCTGATTTAGTGAAGAAATTTGGGCTTAACTCTTAGAAAATCTGGTCGGAACTAAAATGTGGTACTCCTGAACTGTACATTCGGAATTTGTATTGTTGATTCCTGGGCAATTCTCGATGTTATAAATGAGGAATTGCGTACTAACATAAAATATATGACACTGAAATTTTAATTAATTTAACAAAGTCTTTTTTTTTGTTTTATAATTCTGTCTTTAAGACATTATGATCATTGTCAAGGATCTCTGACAATGATTTTAAAATCCCTGATAATGATGTTAAAGGCGGCAATCTTTAAGATCATCACTAGTATACAATAAGATCATTGCATACGCATTGATTAAAATCATCTCAAGGACTTTTAAGATCATTACTGGAGAGAAGGTGGCGTAAAAACACTGAGGTTATGAGTATGAACTTACACTTCTCCTTTCTTCGGAAACTATTGGTAGGAGTTCCATACAAATTCTGGCTACGCTACCGAATTTAGCAATGACTTTTCATCGATCTATTCCCTATGTCTTATTTAAGGTGCCGAAAATTCAAAATTTGAGTAGGATTTTTTTTCCATTTATGTATACATGGTTGGAGAGAGCGCATCGATTTGAAAAAGTAGTTTTTAATTTTTTAAAACATTTTTTAAGGAAGAAAAATTGAAAGTGTACGGAATCAGAGTCGAAAACTGACTCGAACGATGTACCGTTTTATTGTTTTCGATCACCTTATTTTTTTTAAATTTTCACGTCTAAAAATTACTGCCCAGTGATTTTCTTGATTTTCAATTCTCAGTGATCCTCATTTATTTTCGAAATATATATCGTTCGACTCAGTTTTCGACGCTGATTCCAAATATGATATTTTTATTGCATAAAATATGAGTTCTGATGGAGAAAATTGAAAAGTACGGACAAAGTTTCGACTTTTTCACCCCTGATTTAGAAAAAATGAACTTTCTCAATAACAAAGCAAAATAGAAAATTGTGTTGAAAATTTTATAATTCCAAATCGTTTCAACAAACGATAAATTTATAGATTTTCGGTATTGCTCTCTTTTCAAATAACAAATCTTCTTTTTCTTTCTTCGCTATTCATTGTAATCCTATTCTCAGTACTTTAACGACATTTTTAAAAAGATTGGCGTCGTATAAATATATTTTTGAAAATTTTTCTAACGAGACAACCGTCCCAGGTCATGTAGGGCTGGGAGATGTCTCATTTTAACCAGAAATTTGCGGACTACAATCAGGTCTTACTATGAAAAGGTTTTGATAATTTCTTAGAGGTTCTGAAAAACTGGTGTTCCAGAAAACCGGATCTTCAAGAGTCAAGAGCACGAATTCTTTTAGGGTATTTACTATCTCACTGAGGTCTGTCGATTCATGTACAAATCATCGGAATCGGAAGGGGACACCTGGGACGGTTCCCGCGTAAGTCCAAAAACACATTTTTCTGCCACTTTTAGATCTTACGGCCCCGAATCTAACCTTTTGTTTGAAAAAAGAACGTACAACTGTCAATCTGTGCTACACATAGAATATCCTCCCGTTTTCAAAAGTTTTCTACGTTGCGTAGCTCTTTAGATCACGCGGCTCACACTTCGCACAAAAAAAGTGATAAACAAAAAGTAAAAAGCAAAATTCGTTACAAAAACTTATAATGTCTGTCGACATAAAAACAAATGCGTATTTTTAAAGCTCATTTAATGGCGGTTTTAATGAAATAACAAGATCGGCTTCATCTCTTCACAAAAAAAACTAGATAGGTTTGCAAGACTGTTTATGAACTTTTTACACCG